AAAGGGGGAGCTGGGCATTCCCGCCAGCCCCTTCTCCGAGGACACTCGGGGTGCTCCGCTCTGTTTGCACCACCCCGGCCGGAATTCCAGAGCCGTTTTCCAGGTGTTTCTGTCTCGTGGCGTTTTTGAGAGAGAGAGGACATCAGTTACGAGATTTGAGCTACTCCAGCCTAGACCTCACATCTGGGCCTTGTGAGGCCTCCAAGCCCCTGACGCAGTTGGAAATTAAGAGTTTGTGACACAGAAATTAAGAGTTTGTGACACAGAAATTAAGAGTTTGTGGCACTGTTAGAAATTAAGAGTTTGTGACACAGAAATTAAGAGTTTGTGGCACAGTTAGAAATTCAGAGTTTGTGGCACAGTTAGAAATTCAGAGTTTGTGGCACAGTTAGAAATTAAGAGTTTGTGGCACAGTTAGAAATTAAGAGTTTATGGCGCAGTTAGAAATTGTATTAAGGTGTGATGGGGAGCACTGGGCTGTCTGGGTGTGAAGCAGCACAGGTTTATAGTGGGAGGTTTAGGCCACCTTAAGACAAAGGTAAACAATGTTGGCTTGCCAATGAGAGTGCCTTTGTAAACTATGTAGAAGCTTATAAAAACTTCCATCTTCTCTCAAATAAATGGAGAATGTTGCATTAATTATATTGACTGGATGTGCGTTCTGTCCGGCCAGCTACCCCGATTTTATGAGGCCCCTGGCTTTTTTTCTGAATTTTTGGCCCCAGCCCAGGTGGGCAGCGGGGTGTGGATCTCAGATTCAGTCAAAGAGAGAAACGAAAAGTTTCTAAGCAGGCAGAAGCTGGGAATCTGTTGGAAAAGAATGCAAATAAGAGGTTTTATCTCCTCGTGGTTCACATTGTTTATAGTTAAGTTCTAACATGCACTGTGCACCAATGGTGTGCGTTGTTTTCCCTTCAGGATCAATGGAATTAGCCTGGACAAAGCTCTGTGTGGAGAGTGATGCATTTTGAAATAAATCAGAGTTTTACTCTTCTCTTCATTCCCGTCCTGCCTCAACAGCGTCAGCGGGGATTTGCGTTGCTGCTTTCTCCAGTTCACCCATGGGGAGAAAACCTCACTTTGTGCAAAAGATGGAAATGGCAGGGCCGGAATTCCTGGAATTCCTCTTTCCCAGTGCCTTCAGCTGAGAGGGCAGAGATGGTTGGGTCTCCTGAGCCTCTCCCTGGCCAGGAAGTGAAAACCCAGCTGTGCCTGAGGGGACAGGCGCCTTTGGCCACTGCCTTTGTCTTGTGGCCACCAGCCCGAGGCTGCTGGGTGGGCGCTGGCCAAATCCAGCTGTTCACTGGCCCGAGGCTGCTGGACAGATGTTGGCCAAATCCAGCTGTTCACTGGCCCAGGGCTGCTGGGTGGGCACTGGCCAAATCCAGCTGTTCACTGGCCCAGAGCTGCTGGGTGGGCGCTGGCCAAATCCAGCTGTTCACTGGCCCAGGGCTGCTGGACAGATGTTGGCCAAATCCAGCTGCTCCATGGTTGCCAACTGCTGCTGGCAATCCTGGCTGGAGCTCGGTGGGGCCGTGCTGGGCTGTGTGGCACCTCCAGCCATGGAAAACCAGTGGATTATGTGGGAAGGAGGTGATGGAATTCCCGGGATAACGCCCCTGGGCTCAGCTCTGGCTGTCCCTGTCCTCAGGAA